GTATAGAGGAAAAATTTCTTCAAATTTATTTCGTTGTGCAGTTAACCGTGCTGTGAAACACCAGATCATTGGAGAATTTCAAGACCTCCTTCACGAACATACTTTTGCTAGGTTATTTAAGACGGTAAAGGAAATATGAAAACTGACAACCACTAAATCGTAATATTAGTAGATAAATGCATCACTGGAAATCGTGAACGTGAATTGTTGGTGAAAATGCTGGACCAAAATGTTTCAATAAAAAGCTTAATTTTGGGCGGGATCTGATAAATTTTAATATATGGCGCATACGAGTACAAACAAAACGGTAGCATTTACATATGCAAACCCGTATCATGTAAAAGCCTGTTTGCGCCGAAAATATTATCGCGCAAAACGTCCGTTCGCTAAAATGTTTGCACAACACTGAAAATATTTTGTGATGCTGTATTGTAGTAAAATTTATAGAGAAATGTACTTAAAGCAGAGGTGGGCACTACCACAAACAAGCGATCGCTAAAAGGCCTGCTCAAACAGGCGCGGTGCGGCACGGTGCGGTATAATCCCGTACGATATGCGGTATCAAATACCATGGCGGTATATGGGAGCACTCAAACAGACGCGGTATTGGAAGTGCGGTACACCGCGGTACAGAACTCTACCGCAGCATGCAGCGTTCACGGCGCGGTATAAGAAGATATATCGTAAGCAGAGTTGCAATTTAGAGCTAGAGTTCTACCACATATTCTATCTACAAAAGTGCTACAGATTATAAATTCTACCTTTTTCATTATAAAAAACGTGAGTTTAAAAGTGCTCGTCATACATTCGTTGGCATAAATGTGATATTCTTTGGTTTTATTTCTCACAAAGTAAATAAAATAAAGTTGAACTTTTTCGTTTGTTTGAAAAATGTTTTTCAAATCTGGCAATGTTGCTCAGAAATATGAACGGTAAATTTACTGGAATTTAAAATTCTTTCGCAAAAGGTACATAATGGAGCGCAGATATGGAAATATTTATAAAATCTTTCTTCGTGGTTACGCAGTTGGGGCATCAGGCTGGAAAATTCACCACCTTCTTTTCTTCTCAAATTTATTTCGTGAACCCATCTTCTTTTTCTTAAACATATACATAAATTAAGAACTTTGCAGGATAAAACAAAGATGTAGGCATATTCATACCTTCTGTTTTCTTCGTCGAGAAGTGCTGCTAATAGCAATAATTCGTACTCAGAGCTTGAGCTGTCCATCGCGAAAATCAGATTTATAATATATGTATAAATTTAGAAGGAGGAATGCGTAGAGTGCCGTCACATGGCAACAATGTTTCGTGCTATACCGCACCGCGCCTGTTTGAGTGCCTTTGCGTATATCGTTACCGCGTATCGTACGGGATTATACCGCGCTGTACCGCACCGCGCCTGTTTGAGCAGGCCTAAAAGTGAGAATGTGTTAGTGTGCCTAATTCATTTTGCATGCAGACGCGTTCTCATTGTTACGCTCTTCCTTGTATACGTACCAGGGATGAAAAAGCAGGTACAATTGAACCTTTTTCCGACGTTTGATGACTTAAAGGTACATTAGGTACAGACACTAGATTTTAGGTACAATCATCTTTTGATCAGATGCATTTTTAGATTTTTTTTCTTTTTCCTTTACCGTGCTAGTATATTTACTTTGCTTTCATTTTGAAGAATAAACAATTTTAAAGAAAAGTGGTCAAAAGGAGGAAATTAAAAAAGTCATATTATGTATTATCTTAAACATTTTACATTGCATTTAGAGCAGCCACTACGAAAAATTAACACTTTGCTTAGCTATCCTCAAATTCGTATTTTTTTCTATTAATTTTAACGGTTATTTTCACTAAGTCAAATTCAATAGCATTTGCGGTCAAATGAGTGAAAACAAATTGTCAAATGGGACTAAAAGATGGTATTTTGATTGATTTAGATCAGAATAGGCCTTCATGCGTGTACATCCGCTGCTAAAGCGGCTATTTGTAAGTTTTTGGCCCATAATATCATCGATAAAGGTAAGGATAAAGGAAAGAAAGTTGTGTCAAAATATGGCGAAAAATTTTGTTGTCAAAATATGACATAATGAAAACCAGCCTTTATTCACACATACAGTTCAGTGTCTAGGATGTCTTCAAATTTAATATTTTCTTTATATGAGAACTATAGCTATTTGACCCATATTCGCATTTTGATTTCTGGAAATATGTTTAAAATGCTTTCGAAGTTACTTCCTGCAATTTGATTATTTTCTCTAGACTTGCTGCATCTATCGAAAGGAATCGGATAAATAAGCAGACTTTTCCTATTGTTTTATAAAAAGCTGGATAAAGAAGTATACTTCGCAAAGTGTGTTTTTTGTCTTTTTCGCCAATATTTTTCAGTAGCCAAAATTAGACAAAAACAACGCTTCTCCGATTCCCATTAGATTATATGTAGTCTATAGATATAGGCTCAGTTAAAAAAAAAAAATCCATCTTTTGTATACATGTTTTAAATAACATTTATAAAAAAAACTACAAATCAATGATGTAACTTTTTTAGGTACAATCTGTCTCATTTAGGTACATTTATTTCATGATATTAGGTGCAATCTCAAATTTCCATTTTTCAACCCTGATACCTACACGTGATGGTTATGCTCTTTGAGCGTGTGCTCGTTCTCTGCCCATGCCTGACTTAAAGCAACAAGAAAGTACGTTCGCTTACAGTTCGCCAGAATTTGACTTTATTTCTGGAAATTCATAGCCGCTCATGAATTGTTCACACTTTTCTACTCATACCGCATACATACTTCATGAAAGCATCCCTGCAAAAAATGGGACTAATCCGGGATGACTCCGGGAGCAATCGCAAAGGAGCATGCGACTAATACCACTTTTGATCTCTTTATATGGAATGAACTGATCGCTTTTGTTCGGGCATGTCCTATGAAGAGACTAATTGTTCACATTTATACCCGAAAGGGTATAAAAAGCGACTAGTCACTTTTAAAAAATAAAAATAAAAATTTGCGCCAGCTGAGATTCGAACCGGGTTGCTCAGTTTTGTTAGGCGAATACTCTCTCTGTGTGCCAACGCCGCACATGAAATTTCATTGACTAAGAGCGTACATATTATTAAATTGTTAGTAGTACCCGTTAGAGATGAGTTGGGGACTAATTGATCTCCAATTATACCCATAAGGGATGAGTCGAGACTAATCGATCTCCATTAGCACCCGTATGAGACTAGTTGCGACTAATTAATGCCCAATTGTACCCGATTGAGAGTAATCTCGGAATACTCTCTTTAGAGATTAGTCGCACAATTTTTTGCAGGGATACAACCGACTTCCACTGGGTAAACACCCTGAAGCAAAATTTAGAGACAGTCTGGCAAAGCGCAAGTTCTGAACCAGTTTGATTTGCTGCAGGGCATGTACACAACACATACACAAAAACGGCACTCACGTACACAATACATACACAAAAACGGTACTAGACACTCTCGTTTTGATTTCGGAATGCTTATACATTGCGAAGTTAGCTTATGTACATGTGTATATGGAATTATCAATCGAAAATGACATTCTCTGGTCATTTAACATAGTTGAATAATATGAAAACATCCGTGGAAGTGGTTGGACAAAATTTAGATAAACTTAATTCTGCTGGGTAGCACTTCGATAGATGTTCACTAGGGTGATTCAAAATTGGAACTTTTTTGAATTTCGACTGGAATCGTTCGGATTCTTAAAGATAATAGGGAAGACAAAATCCTTCTAAAATTTCAGCTTATTTGAACAACATTTAGAGGTCGCTCAACGCTGTTGTTTGTTTTCCGGAAACTGCAGATTTTAAATGCATCTTCATAAAAAAATAGGTATATTTTCATCAAATCTTGTCGGATTTCGTTGAAATTTCGTAGGTAGGTTCCCAAATATCAGTTTATTAGGACACAGGTTATATTAGTATAATAAATTAGTTCTAAATACAAATATTAATTAGTTAGTAACTCAGTTTTGCCTTATAAAAAATTAATATTTGCAATAATTTTTTTTTGTTCCTTAACCAGTGAGCACATGCTTAATAAATCTAAGATCACATTGTAATTCATACCAATAAAGGACCTCATCATTAAATATTACTAATCATCAAATAAAAAAAATCACCAGATAAACATTACTCATACGCCATGTTGAATCCAAGTGTTTTCCTAGTCATTGCAAATATTAATAGTATAATAACAATATTTTACAATGTTTAAAACCCTATTTACAGAAAAAAATCAATGATTTTTAAAGACTGAATATTCTGTTCCGATTATTTTATATATTCTTCAATGGAATAATGAAATTATTATGGAAGAGGAGTTAAATAAGGTTGAAGCACTGAGCTTAACGGTTCAAAAGTTTGGAACGCAGACCAATAGATAGCCATTTCGGATCACACGCTTTGACAATTCGTGTTGGATGTAGTCCATCATTTATGGCAGAAAATGTGGCTATTTATTGATTAAGACTTGCAGAGGATTTTCTAAACCAAATATATGTTTCTGCCAAAAGAAATTCTATCTCACTTGGAATAATTTTGGGTGCTGTACAAATAATAAATTTAATATACTTGTATTAGGCATGCCAGGCAATTTTGGTATGCATAGACTGAAAAATCACGAATTAATTCAAAATGATAAACAAATTTAAAAAATGAGAATGAAAATCTCAAATGGCAACACTGATTCGAATTAACTTTTAAGAACATATTGTGAGCACTCATAATAGTGGTATACACCAAATTGAGCATGTGGCCTAGAACTCTGGCAAACGGGCAGATGTGTTTAAGCACACGATTGTTGTCAACAGTAATACTGCCAGGCCACTTGCTAACTTTGGTGGATACCACTAATTAAATTGTGTTGATGACTTTGCGGATGCCTTCGGGTGTTTCCAGGGACCACCGGTTAAGAACCACTGATCTAAAAACTGAGCACTTTTATTTATCGGGTTTGTGCTTTTTTACAGATCTTAGATGACACCCGAAAATGGTGGAAAGCGCGCAATATACGAGGCCAGGTAGCTCATGTGCCACATACAATTGTTACTCCATTTAACTACGGTGACGAATCTAATAGCAATCAGTTCTACGGACAACAGGTTCAGCCGCATCAGCAAGGAAGCAGTTATGCACCACTAAGGCCTGCGGTAAACACAATTCTCAGCGTAAATACAAGCCTCGAAACACAATGCTATTCCAAATAATTCACGCACATTAACGCTTTTATTTTTAGAATAACATCGAAACGCACCGATCCCAGGACACTACTGACTGGATTCGTAACAAGCATCTGGGTAAGAAAGGAGAGTTCAGATATTTTTAATATGCTGCATCGCAAACGCATACGTAAGGCGCGATATTTAGTATGTTTGACGTTTGCAGCAATGACGTCGTTTATATATTTTTTTAGGTAAATTTAAAAAATGTATTTAAAAAAACTGTTGAGCTCAATTGAGTTAATATGTAACAAAGCATATTGCCACTAGACACGATTAAAGACGCGAGTTCAAAAGGTGACCGCGAAAAAAGACACGTAAAAACCTTCGGCGGATGTAACAGTATACAAATTGACCAAAGAGTTTTTGGGGAATGATGCTGAAGTGACAGTCCTTGGCCAGATATGAATCTCCGTTTAACCGTCTTTCTTCGTCGAAGTTTTTTTGTGCGTCTTTTTTTTCGGAAATTCTTTTCACGCGGTCTTTTTCGCCGTCAAAACACTCGCACGTCTTTATTCGTATCTGGTTATGATATATAGTTCTGTTCAATAACAAGATTAGCCATCAACAGCCAGCAGTTAAAACCGAGACCACAATGAAAAATATCTCTCTAAAATACACAAAAAATGGTAATAAACAGAAAACAGCAAAGCAGCTGAATTCGCTTATGATTTGTGATACAATCGAAAATTCTGCCACGGCTGTTTTGCACGCTATGTTCTTAGCTACAAGATCAACGTGTGCAAAGTCAATCTGTGTAAAGCGCCGCTGTCGGTGTAATCCTCCTGGCTCCGGTTATACTGATCTGTGGGTCTGCTCCTAGTAAAGAGCCACTTTTTTATTCAAACTCGGCCCCACCTCCGCGGTCCAGTTAGCGAGCGATGCTGTTGTCCGGAATTTGGGGGTTTTCATTTCCATTACGCCCTGGTAAATAATAGGATGAGGGTTTACGTTAATGACTTAAAATTTTATTTCTAGCGACGCGATATGTGTGAAGTGCATACACAAAATTTTCGCCAAAATTTTTATTAGCGCGTAAGTCTATATTTAATGTTATTGATGACTTTAGCAAATAACAAAAATCGATATAAACTAAGAAGAATTACTAATTATAATACAACCAAGTAACTCACGATTTGTTGTATTTTTAGTAATATGTACACATATGTAACACATAACAAATACATAAATACATAGATATGGTGCCGTGCAATAAACCCATAGAAAATAACGCCATATGGCTTTGTTTCAATTCACGTTGAGAAATAAGGCTACATGACATGATTTCCAATAGGGCAAGTAAAATAAAGCCATAACCAAAAATTTTACGTATGGGAAATAAGGTCATACGATCTTATTTCCATACAAAAAGTAAACATTTTTGCTATTGATGATATACATATATGACGTTTTCTTTTAAATCATTAATACTGTGTCTCCATTGTGAGATTTAGATATTGGGATTTAATAAATCTCTCATTTAAATCTACACCATCCCCATTTAGCTATTGGGATTTAATAAATCTCTTATTTAAATCTACACCATCCCCATTTCTATGTTGAGATTTATGTGACGTTTATTCTTTTTAATATTTAAACATTTGCTTACATTGCTCCTTAAAGCCCTTTATGGAATATAAATTCAATTTAAAACGTAAAACAATTCAATCTAAAATACAAACAAATGTATCTGGCGGTTGTTGTGAGAAGGAAAATGTAAATCAAATATTTCGTTATTGACATGACATATAAATTGGAGGTTGCCATACCCAACATATCGTATTTATTGATCAATATTATTGAAGATATAACTTAAATCTACGGCCTTTCTCGCAGGATTTCGCCTTAATTCTTATCAGAGGCCTGATTCTCCATTAAATCTCGCAGTGGATACGTAGTATAAGATCCCTGTGGGGAAAATCTCTAGTTTTGAACTGGTGCGCTTCTAGTACATTTAGAAACAGTTCGCGATAAATCTCTTTTGCATGCAAACAACGGCGAATTTAACACAGCGATGTCATAGGAATTGGAAATTGTCCCCCGCTGCATTACCTTTTCTATAGTTCAGAACCAGTCCTAAATTCGACATATGGGATCTAGTTCGCTTTGCACCCCATTTTCTATAGTTTCGAACCAGTTGTAAACGAAAAAAGTAACAAGATGTTTTCTATTATATTAGTTTTGTATTACCAAACAATGAAAAAGCATCTGCGACGTGCAGACTGAAAGCGTATTTGAACGAAAAACCCGCCAAGCAAAAGTCTATTTAAAGTAAAGAAGACGCCCGCTGCATCCCTTTTTCAGTAGTTTCGAACAAGTTCAAAATTCGCTAGATGAGATCTAGTTCGTTCTGCATCCCTTTTTCTATAGTTTTGAACCAGTTCTAAATTCGTCATTTTAGATATAGATTTCTAAAATTGTTTTTAAAAGTACCACATATCGCTGCTTTTGAACTGGTGGCGATCCAGTTACTATCGGACTGGTTCGTTTTTGGCGATAAAGATCTAGTTCGGAACTACAAATTTGGTTCACCAGTTCGGGGTTTCCCTACAGGGATATATTTATACATCTATATGCATATATGTATATGAGGTTGAGTGCTTTTCGTTTTTGTCATTAACAATTTTATACCTACCTCAATTTAATATGAATTTTAACGATTTAAAAGCAAATGCCCTATAAATGCATACATACATATGTATATACAAATTTATATATTTACATACATACCCAGTAACAAAAGGTAATAGCTAGGAAATTAATCTGTAATAGCAAAAGTGAGGGCCTAACTACTGAATTCTTTGATGAATTTTAACACGGCCGATGCCCTACGAAAATCATAGCTTACAAAATTGCAAACCTGGCAATATCAGTTTATCAGTTGTTTGCATATCTGACTTGCGTATGCAGGAATATGAAATAATCAGTTGAGCACCTTCCTAGGAAGTTTAGAAATGAGCAACTCGCGTATGCAGGGATATGAATCGATCAGATGAGCGCTAAACTGGTTCATATGAATTTAGTATTAAACTTTCTTGAAAAGGACAAGAACAAAAAATATTTTTCTCTTACAACGGAATGACCTCGTTCCTTGCCCCGCGACCTATTACTAACTCGCTTACTTTTTTCAGAAGTGAAACTTTTTGCTGGTGGGTATGTGCATATCACAGCGTACGGCAGTGCGCGCGAGTGACGAAAGCAGCCACAGTAGCATGCTGAAATGATTCGCTTATATATTGCTGTTGGACCTCGAGTTATTGTTGTATCTCGGTTGCGGTCTAAATCTCCTACTTTGGTAATTTCCATAGGAAATTACTCCGGTACTGACTCTGCTGTCGTACATTCAAAATTGTGTTTGAGCTGCCCGTTATTTCGGTACAGCTGTTCGTAAATTTAGAGATTGCATCGTTCATAGTTGTGAACGTTCCCGCTTGCATTATAATTTTGACCTTGTCATTGGAGCAGTTTTTACACATTGCTTTGACTGCTGCTTGGGTTGAATATCTCGTTGCTAAGTCTGGGTTGAGTCCATCCGAGATATATGCTCCTTCCAATGACCTAGTAATTTTTTCTATTTCTGCTGTGTATTGATTAGCAGTTTTGCTACGTTGTTGGATGTTCAGGAGTTTAGCGGTTAAAACTTCTACTGATTCACCCTTTATTGCGTTTTTTAATTTTGTTTTTATCTGTTCTATTGTGTTTTCGGTACTGATAAAATT